CAAGATCGGCGGATTGGCCGAGTATTATATATATGTAAGCCGGTATCGGCGAATGTTCTGGTTCTCTTGTGTTATTATGAGTTAGCATAATGCTAGTTTGCTTTCAATCAAATGATTTTTAAACGTAAAGGCTACTTGGTCAGCTTATTTTATTTTATTTATGGAATAAAGCATGAATTTTATTTAGATTAGTCTTAGCTTTATTTAAGGGAAGCAAAATATCCTACTTGCCTTTTGAACCTACGATCCCCGGAAATCCCCGGAATTCCGGGATTATGGGCCCAGCGCCAAAATCACCCCTAGCATGTTACCCAGTTCAACTCAGCATTGAAGGAATGTAGGTGAAGAAAGGCCGTTATCCACGAAAGAAGCTGACCTGTCTTAGAAGTTTGTTCAAGTCATTGTGCTCACACTTAATTGAAGACAGCTGTGTCATTATTACTACCTGAAGGTTTTGAGCTGTTAAACCATGACAACTGGGATCGAATGGAAAGTCGAATATGAAAATGCTGTTACTGGATAGAAATTGTTGGAGCTTCATAGAGAACAAAGAAGAAGAATTAGATAAAAGTGCAACAAGGCGTGAAAAGCAGAGACTTCACATTGAGAGAGAATAGAGCCTTCACTACATTATATTATGGAATTAAAACTGAGTTCAGGCGGTCAGTTGGTGATCATACAAGAATGCTCAAGTGGTAAAGAAGCATGAGGAAGTTCTACCGAGAAGCAATTCGAACCCAAAACAAGAGCAAGGATAATTCAGTTACTGGATGAATTTTTTAGCATTAGATATACACCAAATGAAGAAATAGGATTATTCATCGCCAAAGATAAGAATGACTGCAAAGAAGTTGGCTGAAGCTGGACACAACTTGGCAGATCTTTTTAAAGGATTTCAGGCAATAAGGAGATTACCCCAACGGAATACTTCGGCATTGTACAGTTGATCTATAGGTGGAAGGACGAAGATTTTTACGCTGGGAAAGAATTGCTGAAGAGCTGTTAAGGAAAGAAAGCCGACTTCGCCAGGTAAATGCCAATTTAGAAGACAGCAAGGTAAGCGTGTTTAATACTATTAGTTTAAATGCGGGGAAAGATAAAGTTGAAAATAAAACTAAATCTAAGAAAAAGATGGGGAATATCAGAATAGGACCTTGTTTCAGATGTCATAAATTTGGGCACTTAATCACTCAATGTAAAGAAAATGTAAGTAAAAATCAGAAGTTTAAAATAGACGATAAAATTGGAAAGTTTAAAGGTACAGAATTAATGTTAGTAGAAAATTATGTAACAACAACAGATAAAGGAGGTAATGCAGATAAATTTAATTGGGTCGCAGATACTGCAGCTATAACTCATTTCTGTAATAACAGAAATTTAATGACAAATTTTGAAGAAATAAACGATATACGTATGTCTTTAGCTGTAGGAAATAGTGAAAGTAAAGAACTAGGAAAGGGTACCGTCAAATTTGCAGTAAAAGTAGGCAATCGAATAAATTGGATCGAGTTAGATAATGTCTTATATAATCCAAATCTAAGAAGAAATTTACTATCGGGAGCAAGGTTAGAAAAGGCAGGTGCTCATTTTGTGATTTCAAAAGGGAACATGTGGATATATTTTAATAATTGGGATAGATTATGCTACGCTAAACGATATGACGGACTTTATCACGTAAAACCATTTAGATATGCAACAGGTAAAAAGGGAAGCTGGGTTACGTTACAGAAATTGGAAAGTTAAATAAAGTAGACGATGTGATGCTATGGCATCGGAGAATTTAGCCACGTAAATTTTGATTATATTAAGAAAACTAGTAAGAATCAAAGCATGAAAAGGTTACCAGAAATTTGAAAAACCAATGGAGAGGTGTGAACCGTGTATTATTGCTAAATCTAGTAGAATAACTTTTAAAACTGTTCCGAAGAGATCAGATAAACCATTGCAGTTGGTTTATTTAGACATTTGTGGCCCACTACCAGTTCCATCTAAGGGTGGGAGTAAATATTTTCTTGCTATTGTGGATGATTATAGTAGATTAGTAATTTTTCATACAATAAAGGTATGAAAAATAAAAATGAATCGTTCTACAACTTTAAGAATTATCATAGGCAAATGGAAAGACTGACGAATAGAAAATTAATAAGTATACGCACCAATAACGGTGGGGATTCTGTAACAGGCAATTCGAACGGTACTTAGCCGAAAATAGAATTAGCGTTGAACACACAAACGTGTACACCCCAGAAGCGAACGGTGTGTGTGAACGTTTTAACCAAACGGCATTAGACGCAATTAAAGCTATGCTTAATGATGGTAAAATGGGAAAAGAATGGTGGGCAGAAGCTCTTGGCTGTTTCGTACATGCGTGGAACAGAGTATGTCATAAAAGCAACCGAATCCCTTATGAAATGTTCCTAAATAGAAAACCCAGTGTTGTTTATTTTAAAATATTTGGTTGTAAAGCCTATGTTGGCATACCAAAACAGATTAGAAATAAATTAAAAAATGAGGTGCAAAGAAGGAATCATGGTAGGATATGCAAAGGAAACTAGGAGTTATAGGATATGGCTGCCAGAAGAACGCAGATTAATTGAATGTTATTGAATGTTATATATTATTATGTAAAGGGAACAGACACCCGTTTTAGATCGTATAATGATATTGAAAAGTATTCTGAGGCAAAAAATATTAAATTTGAAAAAGATAAATTCGATTTTAGTTACAAAAACGAATACTCCGGGAAAGTTAATTTCATAGAACAGGAGACTAGCTCCGTGTCTGAAGAGGCAAATTCCGTAGAAATTGTTATCTCACAAAATTTTAAAGCAGCACGAAAATCAGTAAATTGCCGAAGAATGGGATAAGGCAATGAAAGAAGAAATTGACACAATGAAGAAAAGAAAGGTTTGGGAATTAGTCGAAAAGCCAGAAAATAAAACTATGCTAGGAAACAAATGGGTCTATACGCTTAAAAAGAAATGAAAAGAATCAAGTGGTTAGATACAAAGCACGTTTAGTAGCACAGGGATTCAGGCAGAAAAGAGGTGAAGATTTTGATGACGTTTACAGTCCTGTAGTAAATTTTTCAATCATAAGAATATTTTTCACTATCCTGGTATGTTTATATGGATGGACTAATTGTCAGTTAGATGTAAAGAATGCATATTTATATGCAAACCTAAATGAGAAATATATATGACCCAACCAGAGGGATTTATCGAAGAGGAAAATAAAGTGTGTTTATTACACAAGGCCATTTACGGTCTACATCAAAGCGGCCGTGAATGGTTTTGTGAATTTGAAAGTACTTTAGAAAATCTTTATTTTAAGAAAATACAATGGTGTAATTGTGTTTATAAGAGTTCAAATGTAATTCTCTTGTTATATGTAGATGATATTGTGATTTTTAGTAAAGATCAATATAGTATAGATAAAATAATTTCACAGCTGAGTAAGTTTTTTGATCTTGAAGTATTAGGCAAAACTAAAACATTACTTGGAATTGAATTCTTAGAGAATGAGAATGGGGTTTTTATACATCAGCAAAAATATATCGAAGAAATTTTTGAAAAATTTAAACATTTCCAGATACCAATAACTTTACTTCCCATAGCTAAAGGCACTATTCTTACAAAATTAGACTGTCCATCTACAAGTGCAGAAATTGCGGAAATGCATACATTACCCTTTAGAAATCTGTTAGGATGTTTAGTTTTTGTAGCTAACAGGATAAGGCCTGATATTACATATGCAGTGAATATCTTATCACAATTTCAGGAGAATCCTGGAATTAGGCATTGGGAAGCATTGTTGAAATTGCTTGGTTATCTCAATAGTACTAAATTATACAAGTTAAACTTATCGAAGATTAAACATCTAAATTTATATTGTTATTCAGATGCTGATTATGCAAGTAATAGAGATGACCGCGTGTCCATGGAAGGATTTACATTATATTTAGATGAAGTACTGGTAATTTGGAAAACTGTTAAACAAAAGTGTGTAAGTTTATCAACCATGGAAGCGGAGTATATCGCCTTATCTGAAACAGCGAAGGAATTAATGTGGACGAAAAATGTCTTACAAGATGAAATTTTAAAGTTTAATTTAAGAGAGTGTAAACTATTTTGTGATAACAAGTTTGCCATTGATTTTTCTAGATCGCCAATAGAAAATCGCCGAACTGTTATATGTGTTGAAAATGTTGAAAATAATACAGTCTTTTAGGCTACACTTTCAATTTGGTAATAAAAAAGCCTTCATTAAAAAGCAAAACAATTTTGAAAAAAATATATTTTCTTGTTATAGCAATGTATATAATTCAGAATTCATTTATTACACTGCTTTTTTGGTTTTTACTATAACTCATTAATTGTTTTTTTAGTTTTTGTTATAATTATCTCTACTATAACTCTTTAATTATGACTCACATGCCACTCAAAATCAAAATAAAAAAATTTAATAATATACAAATTAAAAAGATTTCATAATTTTAAATGAATCAAATATGGGTCTTGAAATGTTGAAATGCAATAAAAAAAATTTCCAAGTTTTATTTTTAAAAATCCTACATATTTACTTATATTTCAAAATAAAAAGAATTTCATATTGTATCGGCTCAACAATTTTACTTTATGACGTTGCAAGGAATTCAGTTATCCTCAAATGTGGGACATACATTAAAAATTGTTATAAAAAACTTTCATAATCACTTCAGTTCACAATATCATAACTCTATAAACTCTAAAAAATAGTAAGTTTGTGAATTTCTGAAAATAAATAATCATAATAATTATTTATTTTCCAAGATTCAGGGCACTGCAGGCCATGGCCCACTAGGGCTGTTGTGCCATTGAGTTTAGTTTATTAATTATTTATTTCCAGAATACTTTCATAAATTCCCAAATGAATGATAAAATAAAAATAAACGTTAAAGGCATAACAATAACTCAGATGTTATAAATTTTACATTTAAAAATATATCTGGATTATATTACCAGGACAATATCCTTTCCGATCAGTCCGAGCATACAAAGAAATAGGCCCTGAAGTACAACACCAACAACACAATACTTTTTCCATATTATTCTCTACAGGTACCTTCAATTAAATAAATAAAAGAATAAATATAAATGATAAACTAGTATAACACCTTACAAAAAAAATTAATGCAGAAATATTTCATGAATGATTAATCAGTACAAAAATATGCTTAAAAGGCCAACTATAACTTTTTGTCAGAATTTTCACAGCACTGCCTCTGTACTATAAAACAAGCACTTCCTCTTCAGTTGTACTACAGCCTATCACAGGAAAAGGCTTGCTCTATGTTCCACCAATAACTGATTTTTAGAGTCCTGGGATCTGCCTAAATACAGCCTATCCATCTGGTGTGAAGCCTTCCTTTTTTCCTGGTATTTTCTACACTTGCAAAGCTCACTTTTTTAACAGGGTTCAAGCTGTCACAACTAATAATATGTCCAAGCCACCTGATACAATAAGATCTGATGACTCAGATAATATTAGGTTGTTTGTGTCTTCTACATATTTCATGGCTAAGCAAAATTCTCCATCTATTATTTTCTCTAACTCAGCCACATATTTCCTGCAATATTTTTCTTTCAAAGCTTAGAAGTCTTTCTTCATCTGTTTTCGTTAATGGCCAACATTCACTACCATATAATATGATAGGTCTAATAAAGAGTTTTATAAAGATTTATTATTGTCATAAAGTTTAATAATTTAGACACTAAGTAATTCTTCAAGCCATGATAACATCTATTAGCTCTAAATAAGCTATTGTGAATTTCAAGTTTAATATTATTATCATTAGAGATGACAGAACCGAGATACGTAAACTGAGAAATGCCCTCAAAAGTAGAAGGCTTTATTTGTAGTGGGAGGGGATTAAGTACTCTACTAGTTACTGCCATAAATTTTGTTTTACACTCATTAATGATAAGTCCAGTATCTCTGGCTGCAGACTCTAGAGAAATAAGTCTCCACAACTGCCTGTTTATGCTAAAAAATATTAAGTTTGTGAATTTATGAAAATAAATGTTGATGCCATCAGAGTACGATAGTAACTGTATAGATCTCCAAAATATGATGCCTCTAGTTATAATTCTGACATCTCTTTTCAAAGGCGATATTAAAAAACATGAATGCGAAGACATCACCCTGTCTCAACCCCCTTTCAGTGTAGAATGCCTCTGAGAAATTAGACATGATTTTAACTCTGCACCTCTTTAATGTCATTCTTGATAGATCAATCAATTTTCTAGGAAATCCGAATTCCAGCCTAACTTCAAACAGCTCTTCATGATATATACTGTCATAAGCAGCTTTAAAATTTACAAAAAGATGAAAGGTATATAAGACATTATGTTCAATAGTTTTTTTTTTTTTTTTTTTTTTTTTTTTTTTTTTTGTTTTTTTTTTTCCAAAATTTGTCTAACAGAATGTATTTGATGAATAATGGATTTTCCAGCTTGAAATCTACATTGGTAGTACCAATAACTGTAGATGCAAACGGTAATGACATATTATGTAAAATATGAGAGAAGATTTTAAATGTCACATTTAAGAGGATGATACCTTGATAGATGCAACATTTGAATCTGTCTTCTTTTTTAAAATTGGGACAAATGGATTTTCATTCAAAGGGCATCTGCTGCATAGTCCAAACATTAAGTATAATCTTATGAATATCAGTTCAGGTAGATCAATATAATTAATAAGTTCTACCTTGATACGATCTGGGCCTGCAGCCCTGTTGTTATTTAGATCCTCAACAGCCTTCTTCACTTCACATAAAGATGGTTCTTCAAGTTCCAGAGTTCAATCATTTTCAACAACATTCAAATCAATAGTTAGATCAGCCTCCTTCCTTGGAAGATCACTTCCACAGAAATCTCCAAAGAACTCTCTCCATCTTTTTAGCACTTCAGCTCAATCACTTGCAAGCTGGTTGTCACCTTTTCTACACGTAATAGTCCAGGGAAAGGCAAAGTGAGATAGAGCACTGATTTTTTGGTAAAATTTTTTTGATTCTTTATTTGTTTTTGATTTTTCTATCTAACGAAACTGTTCCTTCATATATGTTTTCCTTTTCATATGAAAGTTTTTTTTTTTTTTTTTTTTTTTTTGTCTTTTCAACTTTTTATAATTTTCCTCTGCTCCTCTAATATAGTGTTTTCGAACCATTAAGTTTATAAGCTTTGTTTTTTTTTTTTTTCCTCAGTAATTTTTGCACAATCACAATCATATCATCCATGCCTTTTATTCCTTTTCAGTTCTGGTATAACTTCCCTTGCAGTGTCATTAACTATTTTTTCAATCTGTTTCCAGGAGAAATCACCATTCTGTAAATCATCACATTTCAGTAATCCTTCTTTTAATTTATTTCTATAATCTTTCATTGTCACTGGTTTGCACATGAGTTACCATCCAAGATTTCATCCCTTTGCTGTCTCTTCCAAAAGGTCTTACTTATCCTTCCTCTCAGTGTGGAAATCACCAGAAAGTGACCTGAGTCAACATTGGCTCCGTGATAACTGCAGACATGCAAAAAGCCACTTTCAGCATCTTAGATCCACCAAGAAATGATCAATCTCATTTAGATTTTTTTCCATGTATATTTTTATTTTCAAGGTACCTACTATAATAAGTTCACTTGCATTTGCAAAATCATTATATTCCATTATCATTAGTTTCTTCATGTAAACTGTGATTATTCAGAGTATAAAACGAGTACATGCAACTATTTAATGTAGTACTGTAAAGAACTTATTACTGTTTTAAAGTTCTAAAGTTGTTTAGTAACATTGAACTTTTTGAATGAAAAAATAAAGCATAAACCCAAACTTGGTCACTTTGTTCCATCTGCATAGATTTTAGATATTTAGACCTTAGTTTTAATGTCTAAAGAAGAAGAAAGTATTAAATGAATTCTAATGATGATAATAATAATATCAGAAAGATATATTAAGTAATTTTACATCAATGAATAACATAGTTTAAATATATTTGTAATTTTTTATGAACGTTATAGGTCAGTTGATATATATATACACAAAATATAAAAAAGATTAAAAGAATTATTACAGGCATTACCAAATATTCTGTCCGATTAATATCAATAGGACAAATAACAGTGAAAGCTTTCTTGGCCTTATGATTAAATGTCCATGGTTTTTCCATTTCTGCTTTCAGCCAATATCGAATGCTACCATATTTTCCCTCAAAAGATGTAGAAATCCCCCTACAGAAAATACATATTTAAGTTTTTCCCACATCAATCACATATTAACAATTAAAAAATTCAGTAATATAAATATTTATCATTAATTTACAAATTTGCTAGTTTTGTTTGCTAAATGGTGCTTAGGATCCTTAAATTAAAAAAAATAAAAATTTTCTGAGCAATTAGGATTATTGTCAATATATTTGAGCCAAAGATATATTACAGTAATTGAATCAAGACTTATTTCTTTTTATTTTCTGATAAAATATATAAATTTTGTATCAAATATCAAATTCCGCTTTCATGCAAGAGGTTTAAGGGCAAAAAATAACATGCACCACGGGGGGGGGGACACTGCAAATTGAGGAATAAGAGATTAGTTTCACTTGTGAAAACTAATACAAGTAATGAAGTTTGTCCATCTCAAAACTTAAAACTTACACATTCATTATTATTTATTTAAATACAATTTTCATTTTATAAACTTACAAAATAAATTATTCTTCATAAAAAATACTCATCCAACTATATAGTAACACAATGCATTTGTTATAGAGGTGGTCCTCTACTTTTGCACAATTTGTTGTTTCGCACATTTTTTAAAGATTTTTCTTGATACTGGATAAACTGCTTGCTTCTATGCAGTAGCTTCCATGCAGTCACTCCTATGAACCATGACAGCTCCACTTACTCACATACGGCTTCCTAGAGTAGTGAAATTCTCGGAATTGTTGCAACATCAGTAGCATTCCAAGCTGCAGTGCTGGGGACCAAATGTGAAATATAGTAAAGGTCCAATTATCTGGCACTCAAATAATTGTAATGTTTTAAAAAAATTCCCCCTTCCCTAAAATTTAATAAATGAGAGATTTGTAACATGATTATAGAGCTTGTGAATTTACATTGTCGTTAAACAGTGTAATTTAGCCCCAATAATGGATAAACAAGATGTCATAACATGATCATACAAAGTTCATTTGGGTTTAATGTAAATTCGATTAATTCTTGACAAGCCAGTTTAATTTTTGTAAAGAATTCTGATTTTGCTTCACATTTTGAAAAAAAATGATTAATATTTGGGACTGCATGAAGCGAACTATTTTCAAAGTTAATTTAAAAACGTCATGATAAGCAACTTTGAAAACAGATAAACAATCGTGATATAGTGTGAAAAATATGACAAGTAATTTAAGTTTCTTATAATGTTATATACATAATTTGTATTTCTTTATTATCTAACTAAATAAAGAACAATATGCTCATTTAAACTTCTGCCAGAACGACTGCCACATCTTCCCCTCGGCAAGAACTGTTTTATAACTTTAGAGCAGAAACTTTTCTCATTAATTTAGCTTTTCTAATGTGCATTCTGTTTCTTATGTGCTGAACTATCTGGAATTCAGCATTTCTCGAGCTTTCCAGACAGTCAAGCTTTTGCTGTACATACTGTTACTGATTTTGTATTTAATTTGCTATTTTTAGTAGAATTATAATTAAAATTGTTTTATTTCTCAGTGCAATGCAGCACGTGACTTATTTGAAGCGAAAGCTATGCCGGAAAAGTAAAAATACAGGAGCACAGGCATTTAACATTTAACAAATAGATATCTCGTAATTGTAGTCTTTTGCTTTTCAGAAACCTCTAGAAATTACCATAATGTTCTTGTGCATGATTAAAAAGCTTATAAAAGCCGGAGAAACACATCTCAGTTTAGCTGTTTATTAGTTGTTTACTTAATGCTGTTATTGGTTGCATCGAATTCATGGTGAGATCAGATTAGCTTTCTCTGAGCTTTGAGTTCTATTTAACGTTTTAGTAGTTTAAAATATAACTATTGCTCGAATATCTGAGAGGAAAAATTTCAGCATTTTGTTTTATTTCTTGTGATAAGAATAAATTTTGTTGACCTTTTATCAGACTTGTGCATTCAATCTATTACAAACCCATATGCACACAACAACACAATATATTAAATAAGTTGAATCATGAACAAATAAATTGTCAAAACATACAACCTGAAACACAGGTTGTATGTTTTGACAATTTATTTGTTCATGTTTAAATATTTTGCCCTTATAAATTCATAAACATGAGAGAGAAACAAAGAAACTGCAGTGTTGATACAAACAAAGAGAAATTAAAAACTCGTTTATTTTATACAATCGAGACAAAGCTAGAAATAATTAGACATTTTCAAAGTGGTGAACCAACTTCCTATACATTATTTACATCCTAAACCAATATACTCTTCAGCAATTGGTTGATCATAAAATTAGTTAAGTCCAAATAAATCCACTTTTTAATTGCATGAAGAGTGTATAATACCAGAAGTGACTGTTAGTGCATCTGAAATAATTGCAGTCACTGAAATACACTCATAATAAAATATTAGCACAATTATAAATTAAAAATTAATTTTACATGGATTAAAAACATACATTTACAAAATAAATTAAATATTTGCAAAATTCATCCTAACTTAAAGTAATAAACAAAATCAGAAATGAAATTCATTAATTTTCCAATGCTATGTATATAAACTTTTAAACACTGGATTTTTTCCACCGTTAATTCTGATTAAATTATAAGTCATGAGTAACAGCTTTGTTTTAAAAAATATTACAAATAAATTCTGGAATGGAAGTTACTGTTTATAAAATAGCAATGAAGGAGCAGTTATTTCTATCCTATTAAATATAATATATACAATTACCTATTATATACAATTGTTGAACAATCACCTCTGTAATATTACGACAGTTGGTAAATTTGAAAAGTCAAAAAAGCAGTTTTTGAGACTTTTGATGAAAATCATTGACCTTTTAATATATGCATATACAATACAAGTTAAATGTAATTTTTTATTACAATTGAAGAGTAGTAAAATAAAAAAAAAAAAAAAAAAGTCATTTAGAATATTTAAACAAAACATTACTAGAAAAAGGACTAGATTTGTTTTAATTCAGGAATTTGCAAGTCAACTGAAGAAATATCTCTGCTCATTTTTTGTTTTTTTACACCAAAATTTTAATTTGTGCCTGTTCTTTTTTTTTTTTTTTTTTTTTTTTTATCATCTTGATATGAAATGGCCAGTTTTTTTAATTCCCTGACTTTTCCCTGTACCATGACAATCCTGAAACGTTTTATGGAAAATTGAGGGTAATGTGAAACAGTAATTCAACAGCAAATTAAATCTTGACTCCCTCCTTTCATAAAATATTGTAAATAAATCAAAATATCTATCATAACTGCTGAATAACTATCATAACTGCTGCTATCTATCATAACTGCAAAATATCTATCATAACATGTAATACTGTAAAGGTTCAAAACTGTTATTTCACATTTCACAGAAGAATATATATTTACCTTTTGGGGGGGAAACTAAAATGATATTAAGAATTTGAGTTTTTGTTTAGTCTTTCGAATGTTCTAAAAAACAAAAACAAATAAAAAAAAGCAAAATTCTGCATTACCAAAGAGGGGATGAAGAAAATTACAGAGTGCAAATGTAAGATGTCATTTTTACCATGAAATGTTACAATCTCCTAAAAATCTTTCTTTTGCAACAATTTAGCAATAAGCCTTAGTTTTACATCAGCACTCTGGCACAAAACTTGCAGTTTTTGATATTATTTTGTAATAATTTGGTGCAGCATAAACTATTAAGTAATCATAATACTGAATTTTTGAATTGTCCATGCATCCCAATAAATCATTTTTAGTACCATGGTGCCATTCAGACTAGCAGATAAACTTTCAATTAAATAACAGAAATCTTACCCAGATGGTAACTGAAAAGAAAAATGAAACTCATGATGACCTTCAGTCAAAACATCTCGACCATCTCCAGTCTCTAAAAATATAAAATGTTACACAATTTACAATCACACAAAGTTAAACTAAAAATTGAAAAATACAAACAGCAAATGATACACAACCTGTTACTTACATAACATCAACTGCTGCACAAACACGAAAATAAGAGTCCAAAAAGCAATTTTTGCAACTTAAATATATCTTGAGATTTTATTAGAAATTTAAAAATTTAAATACACAACTACACTCGGTTCAGAAAATAAAATTAATCACTTACAATTTAAGATGTAAAAGAATTCAAAAATACTTAAAGAGGTTAGGATTTTTAGAAATGAACAATACTTGGAAAATTCCCTATCCCTTGGCCGTGAATGGAATCCGAGTCTTTGGTGTAGGATTCCCATTCATCACTTTTTTCAACTGAACAATTCTATCTTTAATAAAATGCTTCACTATCCTGAATTTTTTCTAACAAAATTCCTGAATTATATTTCTTTAATTCCCCTTCCTGAACAACACTAGAAGTAACAGACTGTACTTTGTTTTTAGTATTACAATGTAACACTTCTGATGATTAATTCATGAACTCCTATACCAGTTTTTGTATTAGGATACTAGCAATACTTATACTAATGGTTTTTTTTTTTTTTTTTTTTTCTTTCTTTCTTTCTGAAATTTTTCCAAGTTCCTGTTCATAGTAGTATCTTCCCAATCAGTCAGATATCTCTTCTTCAATAAATCTAGAGAAGAATCAGTCACTATAGTAAAAGGGTTAGTATTTTTCAAGCACTAATGCTTCATGTAGATATTTTATTCTAGTTAATATTAGTAGAACAACATTAGCAACAGTGGCGTTCAGCAATAATAATTTTGACTTTCTCAAAGCAATGTGCAAATTCTCAATTGTTTATTTTATTTCCAATTTTAATTATTTTTTCCTTATTATGTTCTTATTAAAGTTTGCTGAATTTTGGTACTTTTTGTTCTTGTAGCTGAATTAAATTCTGACATTTTTTTTTTTAAATGTCTTAAATTTTTCAACAAAAAAAAAATTCAGAAATTCCCCTTTTAAAAAAATAAATAGCATGGAAACCCTAATATAATGTACTAATATGCTAATAACTATACCACAAAACCACATGGTAGGAATAATTGTGTCTTCTCTCTTCAGCAGCCCCCCCCCCCTTCATTTTTTTTTTTTTTTTTTTTTTTTTTTTCTGAAAAGGGATTGTAGGATTTATTTCAGCTTTTGATAGTTCATCCTTATATTTATTCAAAATAAAGCCTTTTAAAACTTGGCAGCATGAGTTCCATTTTCTTTTTTTTTTTTTTTTCTTTTTTTTTTTTCTTTCTAAATACAGAAGAAGCTGTCTTATGCTTTTTAAGCAGATTTCATTTTTATTATTCTTCAAGAAAAGGCTTTAAAACTATTTTTGGCATTTTAAATGTTGCAAAATCATTGTATTCTCTTATGTACCTGGGTTTCATGAAAATATCACAATCCATGGGAAAGATGCTCTACAAAAAAAACAAGTCTACCAGGTGAAGATGATATGACATACAAAGGAGAACTGGCTCTAAATGTATTTTATGCTTTGAAAGAAAACATGACTGGAAAAGTATGTAGCTGCTATGACTGCCCATCACTAGCATAAACTCAGTTTTCAAGTGAAGGGTTGGTATGAACAGAAAAATAGTGGTGAAGCAAATACATAATCATTTATTCATTTTAAAAATAACATTATATCTCTAAGACATCCTCCAGGATCAAATATTCTTACAAGTGAAAAAATAAACATGGGAGGAATATGATGACCTAAGGCATTTAATGCACAACAAATGGTAATATTCTTCTTCTCTATAAAACTTAATTATTAAGATTGCCTGTTTCTTTCCTTTGAGCACTAAAATTTTCCCTGATCTATGAATTATATTGATGCCAGTCTCACCAATATATAAACTATGCTTAGTTCAAACTCTTATTTATTTATGAGCATTTCAATGATAGAATAAAATAGAGCTAGGGGAAAGTGAAGAATCACCCACTGCTTAGAATGTTTTTAAGAACTGCACTAACTCGGTATCCATGTACACATCGATATATTTTCACTTAAAAAAAACATCAGAGAATTGCACAAACTTGGCATTGCACACACCCTTGACTTTGTTCATGTACACATCGATCTATTTTCAAAGTCAAAAGAAATTGACAAAAATCCAATTCTTCTTATTCTTGTACAAAGCACTAAACAAAATATGCCAAATAAGTGGGCGATTCTGCATTTCAACCAGGGCTAGAATTCTTGTTAAATACCTTCATGTTGTTCTTTCAGAAATGCACACAACCGATCTTTGCTAGACATTTTAGAACTCTTTGAAAGAGTTGCTTTTGATCTCGCTCTAAATATACTACATTTAAATCCATATAAAATGCTTTCAAATTTTAGATTCTTATCAAATATTTCAGCAGGGTTTATACTTGGACTCTGAGACGATCTTTTGAATATTTCAGGGTAATTAAATGGCAACCAGAAATGCACGTTCACAGTAGTAGCATATTTAAGATCACTGTCTTGGTAAAATTCAGAATTATTTTGAAAATTAGGTTTCTGAACTAAAATTTCAAATTTCACTCAAAAATACTATGTCTGTACTTAATCATCAATAAACTTAAGTTTGTGGTTTCACTAGGTAATGTACACCTTTTATTGCAACTCCTTCTCTAGCAAGTTCTGCAACTGGAACTAGAAAGTTCAGTTTTTGACATCCCTTAAGTCTCCAAAGCAAAAATTAATTCCAACGAAAAAGTTAAATGGTACAGTTAGAGTAGACTTTGAGGTACCCCTTGTATTATGGCGAAATTGTTGTTTGATTTATCGCCAAGTTGCTGTTTCATTTATGGTAGCCTGAGTAGTTGAATGTTATGGAAACCCTATTGTGACATAATCAGGTGCATGATTCTGGGAAATTTTGAATCATGGGATGTTTTGTAAGCGTTTTTGTGGTGTGTGTTGGTTTGATTCTTTAGACAGTAGAATGGGAATGGCCGAATGTAGTAAGATTAATTTGAAGTTTCTGTACAATTTGGAGCAAAAGGGGAAAAGAGCTTTAATTGACTGGTGTGTAAATGTAGGTTTACTTAGTAGCCATTATAAGTGTTTTGTATGTAGGAAGGATATGCGTCTAGTCGAACGTAAAAAAAATCGTTTAGATGGATTTGTAGAAGTAGAAAGAAAAGTTCAGATGGTCACTATGTGAAGTGTTCGATCAGAAAGAGTACCTGGTTTGAAAAAAGTCATTTGAGTATGATTGATATTTTGATTTTTACGTGGCTCGGGGTGTACGAAGCGAACTCGAAAATCATGGTAAGTGAATATTTGCTTTTGGTAGTGCTTAAATATATAAACATGTTTTTCTTTTCTATGTTATTTTATTTTTTGGTTTTAAAATGTATTTTATTGAGATTTGTATTTTTTTTTTTTCCTATATTGTAGAATTTGGTGCTCCTTTGACTTTTTAAGTGTAAATATATCGATGTGTACATGGACAAAGTAAAGGGAGTGCACAATGCAAGTTTGTGCGATTTTGGGATTTTCTTTTAAAGTGAAAATAGGTCGACGTGTACATGGATAAAGTCAAAGGAGTGCGCAATGTCATTTTTGTGCAATTCGGGGATTTTTTTTAAGTGAAAAAATCGATGTGTACATGGATACCAAGTTTGTGCAATTGTTTGTCTTATTATTTTGGCTTTGTGTAGTGGCAATTTTTGGCACAAAAATCGCCGCTTCGCAAGCCAAAATAACGAGTCAAAGAATTGCACAAAATCGGTAACCATGTACTGCCAAAAATCGCCAAGTTTCGCCAAGGGGTACCCTAAACTATACTTTTACCAGCTAAATTAGCTGTCAACAAATACTTCCTTATTACAATACTCCCATATACTCTGCTATTATATCTAATAGATCAGATTATTGTTTTAACAGGCTATGGGCCAACAAATATTCTAAATCAATAATTAACCTTTTGAAGTTGAAGATCTGATGACTGCAAGACCTAAAGACGGGTTTTTGTATCTTATGCTTTACCCATTTCAAGAAGTCCCCTGCTGGTTGTAACAATGGCCCTTTCAGGTAGTTTTAATTCATCCTGAAAGCTATACATTTCCTTTACAAAAGGAAGAAAAATAAATGTAGGGATTATTGCCTAAACTGCTAAATAGTTTTTCTTATAGAGAGAAAATTTAAAGGTGGAGTTGATTCAGTGGTTATTCAGTGGTACACAGATGAGAATATATATTTCAATTGCAGAAAACCTTCTATTTCTCCATTTTACATAGTTTCCATTTACTTCTCTGAAATTATCAGAATTCTTTGCAATTTTTTCCGTGGATAGAACAGTCAAAAAAATTTAAAAATTAATGCTATGTAAATGATTAAAAAATGTAACATATACGGAAATGTTAATGTTTCAACTGCAGAAAAGTCTAAACATTAAAAATTTAGGAGGAGAGTGGAAACTAACAATAATTTAAAGTATGTTGTGTTTAGTTTAAATATGACTAGTTAGACATTTTTATTGTAATTTGTATTGTAAATTTTCAGTAGCAAAAGCTCTAAAATCGGAACAAGAAAAATGTCTCGTGTATATAGTTTTTGAAAGAATGCGAGGAAGTTACAACATAGTTAATTACTATCTTCAATTCTTAGCACTATGATTCTGTGATTTATAGTGCTATCATTTTACAAACTCTTGCAGAATCTTTATTGAAGACTTCAAGAAAATAATTTTTTCAGATACTGCCATTCATTTGATGTTACATATCAGACTTATTACTGGTTATTTTGTTTACAATTTCAGTAATATTTAAAGATTTTTTTGGCATTATTTTCTTCAGGAGAAGGTATTCATTTTTAACACAATATTTTATTTAGAGAAAAAATCCTTAGTGCAAAAAGAAATCTAAGAAAATGCATATGTTAAAGGAAATCGTTTGAAATATTTCACACTTTTTTTGGATGAGAAGTGCCAATTCGCTTTGGTGAGACACTGAATGTTTATGAGTACTTTAGCATAATTAAATCAATTTTTCAGTATTCAGAATGTGACATACAATTTTATAGAAATATAACAGATTAATGCAAAAATAAAACAACTTTTGTTCCATCAGCATTCTTAGCATTCATGAGCATAATTTATAAATTTTCACAAAACGTTCCTTCATAATTAAGTTTATAAGATAATAAGAGACATAATAGGAGTGATAGCAAAACAGTAAAAATACATTTAATTTTAAAACACTGCAAAAGACAGGTTGTAATACCAAATTTTAAAAAAAGTGCTTATTAAAGCTTCATTAGCAATTTTAACATAAAACTATATCTTTATCTCAGAATTTAAAAAAAAAAAAAAAAAAAAAAAAAAAAAAAAAAAAAAAAAGTTATGTAAAAAGTCTAGAAAGGTGACATAACAGAAATCATTAAAAAATAATGATCTATTAAAAAAAAAACCATTTTTACCCTCTAGTTTAAAAATGAAATTAGTTCTATAAATATGTATAAAAGCTATTCTATTCAGTAAATTCATAAACTGAATAATATTTATTTTATGGGGGGTGCCTGGGAATTAATTTTAAACAATATGAAATACTTAAAAAAATGTAACAATTTTATTTTTCTTAAGTTTTCTCTGAAGTCGCATTTTTATGTTACTTTAAAAGCTAAGTATTGCAAAAAATTTAAAAGTACACTTCAAACCTTTCAATATTCTATTAATTTAACTATTATTAAACAACAAATAAATAAACACTAATTACAGGGTATTAGCAACAGGCATGCTAATTGATATGAAACAGCATAAAAATTTGAAGTATAAAATCATAACCATAATAACAAGTTTATTACCAGAACCGAATAGGACTTGTCGTTTCAGGAAGTACTCAATTTCAGCATTATAATGTTCTGTATAAGCACCTAGTCGATTTCCAGTACTTCTCGATTCTGTCCAATGTACTTTAGCAACGCCTCTCATTAATATCCTTAAAGTCTTCATCTTCATATCACCTCTTAAATCTACAATACATTTTCCATTTACAAGTTCCGAAGGATTATAAACCGATTTACCATTATCGAATACTATTTCAAAAACGCGCAACTTCCCCATCTTTCACCAACAAAGAGATGAAGTAAATAGTGAAATATAGTAAAAATACAGAATTTCTAACGTGTGATTAGAATTCAAAAACATTCTCCGAACCCATGTTACCCAACTTTTCATAAACATTGGAAGATCGAGAACGCGTCGTCTTTTTGAAAAGAATTCGGACGTAAAAACGGCGTTTTATTACTGCTGCTTGAGTTGATATTCAGCGCATGATTCCGCAAAGACGATTCTTTCTGTAAACGGAAAGGTACATTGGAGCGGAATCTGTAGGCACTTTGATATCAGATGATTTATTGGTGAAGTTTATATTTCTTTTTTAGTTTTTATGTATAATTAGAATCATACTGTAATTTTATTATTCTTTACTAGGAAGACCATCAAAGCATCGCAAATTCCAGAAGCTAAGAAATATTTTTAGAAATATGCGAGCGTTAAGTTATAAGAAAAGTTGTTTTCGTAAAAGGAGAGAGGGAACCCTCCTGTTATAGAAAGTTCATAGTATTGAAAGTCATTTCTCTAAAATAGCGTTATACTTTCGATCTATAAATTAACCTTCCCTAAACACCTTCTAACATCCTGCTCGCGATTGATAGAAATGACGACTTATTCTACATATTCACTCCATACGTAATGTGGACAATGTCAGGCTAACTCAGTACCTCCGAAGGCTTAACTAGAGTTATGTTGTTGACGTGTAGTTTAAAAAAATATTTTGTGAGTGTACGCGAAACCAATTGTTCAGTACTTAGGTCTGTTACAAGGAGGTTAGAATAGACACCTCCTTGGTCTGTTATGTTGTTCATGGTGAGCTGAAAAGCGCAGTGATCTGCAAGGCTCAGCTTTCTCGAATTCGGTGTATGCGATCCCGTTTTGGATAGAATTAATTATCCTGAGATAACGATTCCAGATATCTGGTCCAGTTGTCCTGTGCGTGTTTTCTGGTAAGAGACCTGACTTCATTGTGCAGCCGATTCATATTAGCCTTCTCCTCAGGGCACCTCGTTGTTTGTCAGATTCGTCGAGCAACGGTTCGTTGTTTGATTAAGTTAGAAATGGCAGGATCTTCCTATCTATTCTGGGCATGAACCTCTTTCTTGTTACTTTTTAAGGAAGTGTGGAGTTCTTCAGCGAACCTTTCAATTAAGTCATCTAACTTATTCTTGATTGTACTGCGGGTTTCAGTGCTTAAATCGCGCCAGAGCCCTAAATAAGATGAGCTCCGGTACTTCTTTCAATAAAACTTAACCACGATTTAAAGGGAAAATAATTAGAACTCCTAACGTTTCAGTTTAACAATAAGCAGACTTTGCAGTACTCTATTTCCCTAGAAATATGAACTCATGAGAATATGAGACGTTCAAGTAAAGTCCCCTCACTCACATGCGGAAAAAATTCCCTTTAAGAAGGGCAATAAATTTAGGGGAGTTTGTTTGGAAACGCGTAAATTTCTCGCCATGCCATCGTATCTATTGTATTGTTATCGATGCTTACAGTTAGTTATCCTCGCAGGAAGGAAAATGTGCGTTGTGTGACAGCGAGTACAATAAGAGTGAAATACTGAGATAAACTGTTCAAGCACGTCCTATACGTTGTCTTCCCACAGTATTCACTAATGGGGGGATCTAATACTAATTAAGTCTTTTGAGAAACAAGCAAGTAAGGTCAAGAATTAAACATTTTCTTAAAAAATTAAATTTTTTAAAAATTATTTTTTTATAAAATAATAAAAAAATCTAGAAATCTATGTATTTTAGAAATCCTTGTATACAGAAACTTCCCCTACACGAATATGCATATCAATAAAAAGAAACTATAAAAGAACTATACATAATCCATATAAACCAATATGAAATAAAAAACAAAAAGAAGTAATTCACGTGACTTTTACCCTTGCCTGCAGGAATGACGAAACACGAATTGAATGATTGGAGAGTTAGGTTTGGAGGCAACTTCCCCTTGATAAGTCTGTCTCCTGCCTACTCTACGATCATTCACATATGCATTTTTTAAAAAATTGTTTAATTTAATTTTAATTTATTAAATTAGTAGATTTATTTTCATGGATAGATTTTACACTTGATTTGCTTATGCTTCTGAATTTAAATGATATTAAAGATTAGTTCGAGAATTAAATCTTTTACATGTTTGCATATTTTAAATTATTTTAAATTATTTGGCTTTTTTTTTTTTTTTTTTTAGAATTTAAATTTACTTTTCTACTTTTTTACTTTTATACGTATTTGTTTAGAATTTAAATTTGTTTAAATTAATAATATAATATTTTTATTCTGCTATACATCCAAAGAATTCACTGTTAGTAAATACCGTCAAAATGGTGACGATAAAGGCAGTCTCATAAACATGTATCTGAACATAGAATTGTTCTACCTAATGAGCAATATGTTTATTACTTTTCGTGATATTCAGTACCTCATAATTCGTATAATGAATTTTACTTAAGATATCGGCATTATTTTAACTGCCCTAATTAAGAAACTTTGAAGGCATTTTTTGAAACAGCTGAAAGCACATTAGATTGCATTTGCTTAGAATTATCCATTACATTATGGATAATGAATAAATTTGTAATTTCTATATGTATATTGAAATGACAGCTTCAGAATATAAAATTTTTCAGACACGATAGAAGGAGAAATCACTTAACTAATTGATTATTTAATAATGAACTAATTGAATGTTGAAGCAATCAATAACACATAGTAACTTTTGATTTAGTTAAATTCTAAATATAATCACAGATTCCTCTGATATTAACATAAAAAAACGTTGGACACATTATAGGTGACGATATGAATTTGCCCAGCTCTATCTCATTTTGAAACAATGACCAGGAAATAGATCCAAAGATCATCTACCCCTCTTCCGTTCGCATTAACTCTTGAGGACTTATTTTTCCATGCTATATACCAGGGCTTAATATATAAAATTAGAAGTGCTGGAGCCCTATGGAAGACTGTGACGAAGGAAAGAAAAAATAAATAAATAATTAAAATAGCTAATAATTAGATAATAAATTTAAATTAATTGATTAATTAATTAATTAACTAATTTAATTAATTAATTTAAGAAAAATGTAAAGATAAAGAGAAATTTAATAAATTATTAAATTAATTTTGAATAGTTAAATAAGGAAAAAAGTATCGGACCTCGTCTTCTGTGAGGCATTGTCCGGAATTACAATTCCACTTAGATGCTAAGAAGCAGCTCAGCTAATCTCCGTCTGAGTTTAAACCTTGAATTATACATTAAAATGTACATTATCAAGGGATGATAAGTATCACTCTTTTTTTTTTTTTTTTTTTTTTTTTTTTTGCAGCACACCCAAGGAAAAAAGATAAAAACGATTAAAGCTCCACTAAGGAGAAAAGTGAGAATTCTAGAAAGATTATGAGGGTATGGAAAGCAATTTAAATGAAAAGTGTAGCTTTGAAGATAAAAAGGGAAGAGTTCAAGACTACCTGATCGCGATGCCCTGTCAATATAATACTAGCCGTCAAGCAGAAATTTTTCCTGATTACTTTTCCTGAATACAACGTGAGAATAAATTTATAAATTCTCGGTACAAGTGGCAGCCCCCTGTTTGGTTACATCATTCAGCTCTCTACAGCTCTGCAGAAGGAAATCACTAGCATGGAACGTCCACGACCAGGGTGTCACATTTAGTTCTTTAAGGGAATACAAAATTTACCCGCTCTTACAAATTCATTGCATATCCTGGAGAATAAGCCTTTGACATATAATTGGAGGCTTCTCTTTCCTCAAAAGTCTCAATCTCTGTGCAAGGCTTGAGTGCGATGGAAAGACAGGCTTGCATTCAGAAGTTAGGATGATTTTTAGGACATGCTTACTATTAAAACAAAATTTCTGTGTTAAAATTGTAATTCACTTGCATAAAAAAGTGCTTGAGCCCTTTTATTTAGGGCTCCGGCTGAAATTATAATTTATCTCGAAAACTGAGAAGTACCGACGCAATTTAAGCTCTGCTATATACACAAATGCCACAAAGTGAAGTGAAATTTAAATGCCACCAACTTGCACCCCTTTAATTCTCATTCTAAAATTTTCAAAATAAATACAGATTTATCATATGAATACAGTGCATCAAAATAAAAATATATGTGGCACTTTTTTTTTTTTTTCATTCTTCAGAAATCTCTTATGTGACCTCAATAATTTGAAAGAAAAAATGAAATTATATCTGAACAATGGCAAGTTCTGTATTTTTAGTAGACAGTCCACTCAATCTCTAAATATTAAAAATAAATATTTAGGATTAATAAATATTTTTAATATTTGGAAATTTATTATTCCCAAATTATATGACTATAATAACTAATCCTTTATGCCACTTCTCTTTTACAAAGGCCTTAAATTTACTCTCAGAAAGAACTAAGGGTTGTAAAATAAAAGCATGGATTTTCATTTTTCTAGAATGAAAAAGTGAAATTATTATTTAATATTTTTATTTAATGTAATGACTGCAAAAATGTACGCCTTAATTTTAAGAAAGTATACTGATCTAACACAGTTTTTTCAAAATGCTTTGATCATGTATGAAAACAAATTTTTGTTTATTGAATATATTAATTTTAATATTTTATGCTAACCATAACACAATATAAACCTGAATTGCCAGTGCTGTGAGCAAACAGGCATAGAAATCATAGGAACAGTACACACTCAAGCAATGGTTAAGATACTACTAAACGATTCTCGTTCTTCTTTCTGCATAAAAAAATTGCATATCTTACTATCAGATCTTTAACACTTAGGATATCAAACATAATCATTACTCAACCACCTGTAATTATAATGCCCTTGTTGGCTTTTTAAATGCTAATTATATTTATTACATCAGTTTATATTTTAGTAATTTTAATTTGTTTAAACATAATTTGAATTTTTTTTTTTTTTTTTTTTTTTTTTTTTTTTTCCTAATACGAGAACCTTTTTCCATTTAAATTAATGGTAAATAGTCCTTTGATATATACAATTTTGTTTATAAAAATGTTCAATGAAAGATTACTTTCATTATGTATTAAAAAATCTGATTTTAATTAAAATTTGAAAATTGTTCTATAATTGTATCAGCTTGACACTATTAATTAAAATAATTGCCATCATTTTTATACTTTAATTTTTAAGATAGTTATTTCTTGTAAGTGCGTAGTGCCCATTAATAGCATATAACTTAAAATAGTAACAATATGCCAAACTTATGGTGTATATAAACCTTGCTGTATAATAAGAGGGGAAAAAATATTAAAAACAAGTCTTAAAATATTTTCATGCTTTTAAAATGAGATATATTTCTTGCAAGAGAGGTAGCACATAAAATTGTCATTTCGCCAATGTAATTAATATTTAAACCCTACAATTGTCAAATTACTTAGCTGACACGTTAGAAATAATTTTTCTCTTGCAGTAAATGCTTCTA